AAGGAAAATGAAAAGATACTTTTTTTTCAAAAGCCATCAAATTGGCAAAAAATCAAACTGCTTCCTAGCATGGCTGTTGGCGAGCGTTTGGGGGAAGGAGAACTTGTGTGCATTGCTGGTGTGCATGTAAATTGGTGCAACCTTTTTGGAGGGCGATTTGCAGTTCCAATTATTATTTTAAATGCATATACCTTGGAGTGCCTGGGTGGGCTAGTCGGTTAAGCGTCTGCCTTTGGCTAAGATAATGATCTCAGGGTCCTGGGGTTGTCCTGGGGTTGAGCCCATGTTAGGCTCCCTGCTTGGGGGTTGAGGATCTGCCTCCCCCTCTCCCTTTGCTCCTCCCCCTGCTTGTGCTCTCCACTCTCTCTCTCTCTAAGGAATAAATAAAATCTTTTTTTAAAAATCCATATACCTTTAAAGAAATGTACAGAAGCTTTTTATTGAAGTAGAACACACATATAGAAAAGGACAGAGATCCTATGTGGCTCAGACACTCAGCGCGTCCATGTAACTATTGCCTAGATCAAGAAAGAGAGCATTATCAGTGCCCAGAAGACCCTGTGCTCTCTCTTACTCAGTAAATCCCCTAGGTAACCACTATCCTCACCCCTAACAGGATCTGCCTGTTTCTGAACATTCCATGAATGGAATTATAAAGTATATATTCTTTTGTGTCTGGCTTCTTTCACCAAATACTATATTTTTAAGCTTCATCTATATTGCTCTGTGAAGCAGAACATTCATTTTTGTTGCTGTATAGAATTCCATTGCAGGACCAGACCATACTTGATTGTTCTGTTGTACTGCTGAAGAACATTTTGGTTGTTTCCAGTTTGGGGCTATTGTAAATAGTATGGCTATGAACATTCTTGTATGTGACTTTGGGTGCACATAGCAACACGTTTCTGTTGGGTATATCCCTCTCGACAGCATTTTCCCTCTGGAATCTAGCTTATAGAAACCCCCAACAGAACAAGCCTGAACACTCCAAAAGTGTTCATTGTAACATTAAAAAATAGTGGGGTCAAGGGTTCTTGGGTGGATCAGTCATTAAGCATTTGGTTCTTGGTTTGGCTCAGGTCATGATCTCAGGGTCATGGGATTGAGCCCCTTGTTGGGCTCTACACTCATTGTGGAGTCTCTGCGCTCAATCCGGAGTCTGCTTGAGAATCTCTCCCTCTCCCTTTGCCCCTCCCTCTGCTCATGCTCTTTCTCTCTCTTTCTTTCTAAAACAAACATATAAAATCTTTAAAAAAAATAGTGGAGTCAACCTCAGTGTTTACTAATAACAACATGGTTAAAAAAATATTATCTAGGAGTGCCTGGGTTGGCAGGCAGTTAAGTGACCCTGAGATCTCAAGCTCAGATCTTGATCTCGGAGTCATGAGTTTGAAGCCCACATTGGGCTCCATGTGGGGCATGGAGCCTAATTAAACTATATATATTACCTAATGCTTAATCCTGACTTGAAATAGTATGTAGCCAGTAAAAAAGGAGAATGAGATATATTGGTTCTGATAATGTAAGGCTGCCCACATACTGTCAAGTGGAAAAAAAAAGCATTCTGCAAAAATATAGATATTAAAATAGGTAGATATTGTGTGATTCCACTCTTTTTAAGATTTTATTTATTTATTCATGAGAGATACAGAGACATGGGCAGAATCACAGGCAGAGAGAGAAGCAGGCTCCCTACAGGGAGCCTGATGCAGGACTCAATCCCAGGATCCCAAGATCATGACCTGAGTCAAACGCAGATGCTCAATCACTGAGTCACCCAAGAGCCCCGGTGTGATTCCACTTTTTAAGCAAACAAAAGATAAAATAGAACAGGATGAGATTTTTCATACACTCTATATATCTCAAATGTAACTACTTTCCTCCTTCTTCATTACCGCTGTCCTATACTAAGCCCCCATGACTTTTGGTGTTGAAAACACAACAGTCCTCTTTTTTTTTCTTTTTTAAAGATTTATTTATTTTACTTTTGAGAGAGAGAGAGAGAATAAGCACAGGGTAGGGCAAAGGGAGAGAGAATCTCAAGCAGACTCCCCGCTGAGCAAGGAGCCTGACATGGGCCTCGATCCCACAACCCTGAGATCATGACCTGAGCTGAAATCAAATCAGATGCTTAACCAACTGAGCCACCCAGGTGCCCCAAACACAACGGTCCTCTTATTGGTTCACCCCTCAAGTCATTTCTGTCACCATCAGGAAGGTGGGGGCTCAGGAGACTGCCCGTGGAAGTGTTGGCCTCAAGAGTATGCTGCTGTAGCAGCAATGCAGGCCCAGGAGGCCACTGTAAGACTGATGGTGGTACTACCCATAGTATTGCCCATCAAGTGAAAAAAGTGTCTTGCAAAACGTTAGGCAGAAAATAGGCTGATTTTCAAAATATTTTTTTTTTAGAGAGGGAGAAAGGGAAAGCCGGGACAGAGGGAGAGAGAATCTCAAGCAGGTTCCATCGTCAGCATGGAGCCCAACACCGGGCTGGATCTCACCACCCTGAGATCATGACCTGAGCAGAAACCAAGAGTCAGATGGCTAACTGACTGAGCCACCCAGGTGCCCCTTAAAATAAAAATTTTAAAGTTCAAACAATACTTTACAAGTGAACCTATGTAGGTGCGTTAAAATCATTGAAAGCCATCTCATTATCCAGCAAGCGGGTTACAGGCAGGTGTTCTCTGAGGAACCCCTTCACCACCACGTCCTAGTGACCAGCCACGTGTCCAGGCAGGCAGGGTTTGAACGGCAGCTGGTCTGCGTCCTGGCACAACAGAAGATGGAGGAGTGTGGGGAATGACTCTGAGGCCCTCTTCCATTTGCCTCCCGTACCAGAGACTGGTGGGATGGGGGAGGGTTGTGGGGGGGGGGGCTTAAACAACAGAAATCTGATTTCTCCCAGGTCCAGAGCTAGAACCCCAGATGAAGGTGCCAGCCAGGGCCTCAACATACGAATTGCAGCAGGGGGTACATAATACAGCCTAACACCTCCTTATCTCCTCTGGGACGCTTTCAGAAGACATTCCTGGGTTCTGATGAGGTATGAGAGCTTCTTCATACCACCTGCCACAGGACAGGGCCACAGACCACAAAACCACCTAGCTGGGTACTGCCAGCCTGGAATTAGACCATCTGGGCCCATGTACTTTAGTGGCATCCTTTCTGCTATGGGACAACGACCCAGGGAGCCGGCACTTTCGGCTGATCTTCCTTTCACTGTTTTTGTAAGTAATACAGTGTCCAAGTCTAAAAGTGGCACACTGCATATTTACCAGCCAAATTAGCCCGGCCTTGGCCTTGGCTTTCCTGGAAAGTCTTTGTGTGTGCTTGTCAACAGACACTGGAATGCGTTGTAAAAACAAAAACACCAGTCCTGCTTACAGAGGTGGGAGAAAGGGGACACGAAGGGCAGCTTCCAGTTCCATGCTCTTTTTCTCCCCTGCATCCAGCACCCAGCCTGTAGGTCCCCCGTATTTGAACTTCCTTGATGTTCACAAAGTAGGAGCACCCAGCTGGCTCAGTCCGAGGAGCAAGTGACACTTGATCTTCGGGTCATGAGTTTTAGCCCCACATTGGGGGTAGAGATTCCTAAAAGAAATAAAGCTTAAAAAAGACATTAAAATAGGGAATCCCTGGGTGGCTCAGTGGTTTAGTGCCTGCCTTCGGCCCAGGGCATGGAGTCCCGGGATCAAGTCCCACGTCGGGCTCCCTGCATGGAGCCTGCTTCTCCCTCTGCCTGTGTCTCTGCCTCTCTCTCTCTTTCTCTGTCTCTCATGAATAAATAAATAAAATCTTAAAAGACATTAAAATAAAATTTAAGAAATGAATTAACAAAAGAGAAAACACAATTATATGTGCTCATCTGCGAGCATTTAAATATTTGGCGGGGAGGCATCTGGGTGGCTCTGTGGTTGAGCATCTGCCTTCAGCTCAGGTCGTGATCCGGAGGTTTTGGGATTGAGTCCCACATCGGGATCCCCACAGGGAGCCTGCTTCTCCCTATGCCTATGTCTCTGCCTCTCTCTGTGTGTTTCTCATGAATAAATAAATAAAATGTTTTTAAAAATGAATATTTAGAAGAATCTTTTAAACTTTCACATGTGAACTGATCATACTAATAATCCTTGAGGAAAGAAGATGAGGTACATGGAGGAGATTGGAACATTTTATATATATTTTATACAACAGGCCCCAGAGAGCCAGTTAACTGCCCAAGAGTGGGAAGGCTGGCCTTCCGAAGTCCAAAGCTGAGTCCACTCACAGTGAACATCCCACACAGGAATCATTACTCTCCACTGCTTCCCCAACAAATAAGTTTAGCTACAGAATCAACACCACAATAAAAGAGCACCTCACATCCAGTAGGCTGACCATTATTACAAGCAAATAAACATCAGAGAATAAAAAGTGTTGACAAGGACATGGAGAAATCGGAATCCTGGCATCCTGCTGGCAGGAAAGTAAAATGGGTCAGGCATTCTGGAGAACACCAAGCCAGTCACAAAAGGACAAATACTGCATGATTCCACTTATATGAGGTCCCTGGAGTAGTGGCGCTCATAGAGACAGAGAGTAGCATGGAGGCTGCCAGGGGCCAGGAGATTGGGGGGAATGTGAAATTAGTATCCAAGGGATATAGAGTTTCCGTTTGGGAAGACAGAAAAGTTCTGGAGATGGATGGTGGTGATGCCGCTCCACTATACACTTAAAAATGCTTAACACAGGGAAAAAAATGCTTAACACGGAAGAGCCTGAGTGGCTCCCCCAGTTAAGCATCCGACTCTTGATTTGGGCTCAGGTCATGTTCTCAGCGTCCTGAGATCGAGTCTCGCATCAGGCTCTGAACTCAGCAGGCAGCCTGCTTGAGATTCTCTCACTCTCTCTCTCCCTCTGCCCCTCCCACCTCGAAAATAAATAAATAAATCTCTTTAAAAATGCTTAAGATGGCCAACTTTATGTTATGTGTCCTTTGCAGTAGTAGAAAGTGGTATAGTGCTCACTTTGGCTGTGCATGCGGTAAAATCAGGCTGGTACTGAGATCAGCATGGCCCATGTACAACAATGACATGCAAATTCAGGAAGCATTCTGTGTTTTTTTTTAATGCATAAAAGATACGAAGACTGGAATAAAAATGTCCTAGTATCCTACAACCTATCTCGCCAAAAAAAAGTATAAAAAATGATGTCTTCTAAAATAAACTTTATACTACACACACACACACACACGCACAGTTTAGCTAAAGATTTGAGAGGCTTTGCTGCCTAGAGATGGAACTTAATAAAGATACCAGCTCCCTGGCGCCAGTTGCTCACATATTAAGAGAGGGAATGAGCTCATCCACCTGTGAGCTAATTGCCAAATTCCCTGCGGGGGACCGTCTCCCATCAGAAAAATGGACACACTGTGAGCACATCATTTCCCTTTTCTCTCTTTCTCTCTTCTCTGTACACAGCCTAGGTGAGAGGATATGGGTCAAAAGCTGAGACATACGGAGCCTTTCTGAATGCTCTCTCCATCCTCTTTGTCTCTCCCTGCCCTGGTCCCACTGCACTTCGTCGTAGAACCTTTAAGAACTCTTCCTGCACCATAGCTGCAGCAGCAATTACTCGTTCCACATGTGTCTTTCGGCTCATCTGACTTACTGCTGAATTATTAGCTGACTTTGTATGGCTGTGTGTGTGTCTTCTCTCCCCAACTAGACTAGAAGTTCCTTGAAGATAGACTTTGATTTCTTTGCCCCTTTCGGATCTCTTTAGCACTTGCATCAATGTCTAGTGTATAGAAAGGGGCAGGCACATCCGGACAATGGAATACCATTACACGCTCAAAAGAAATGAGCTATCAAGCCATGAAAAGACAAGGAGGAACCTTAAATGCATGTTATTAAGTGAAAGAAGCCAGTCTGGAAACTGGAAAGGCTACATACTGCATGGGTCCAACTACATGACATTCTGGAAAGTCAAAACTATGGAGACAGTAAAAAGATTGGGGGGTGCCAGAGGTTTGGGGGGCTGGGGCGTGGAGCAGGGAGGGAGGAACAAATAGATGGAACACAGAGGACATTTAGGGCAGTGAAACTACTCTGTGTGACACTATAATGGTGGATATATGACATTATGCATGTATCAAAACCCATAGAATGTAAACACAAAGTGTGAACCCTACTGGAAACTGTGGAGATTGGTTAATAATAACATACCAATATTGAACCAGTCTTCTAATGGGGGAAACTGGGGTATATGGGAGCTCAATACCGTCTGCCCAATTTTTCCATAAACCACATCCACATCCTCCCTCGCTTATGAGGGAGCTGGAAAGGTTTATCCAGGCCTGACATTTTTTTTAATTGAGGTATAATTGACATATAACATTATATTAGTTACAGGTGCGCAACATACGGATTCGATATTTGTATACACCGTGAAATGCTCACCGCAATAAGTCTAGCTTACCTCCCCCCCCCACCGCCCTGTCGCCATATAAAGTTACATAAGATGCAATCCGATGTTGTTGACCAGAGTCGCCATGCTGTGTGTTACAGCTCCATGACATGTTTATTTTATGGCTGGAAGTTTGTACCCCTTAACCCCTTCTCCCATTTCACCCACCCCAACCTCACTCCCCTCCAGCAACCACCAATCTGTTCTCTGCATCTGTGAGTTTTGTTTGCTCGTTTGTTTTGTTTTTTAGATTCCACATATAAGTGAAATCATATGGTATTTGTCTTTCTCCGTTTGACTTATTTCACTTGGCGTCATACCCTCTGGGTCCATGTTGTTGCAAATGGCAAGATCTCATTCTTTTTTATGACCAAGCTGTATTTCATTGTACATATATATACCATATCTTTTTTATCCATTCATCCATCAATGAATTGGTTGCCTCCATATCTTGGCTATTGTAAATAATGAACATATGGGTGCATATATCTTTTCAAATTAGTGTTTTCATTTTCTTTGGATAAATACCTAGCAGTGAGTTACTAGATCGTTCTATTTTTAGTTGTTTTTTTTTTTTAAGGAACCCCACACTATTTCCCACAGTGGCTGCACCAATTTACATCCCCAGCAAGAGTGAGTGAAAGTTCCCTTTTCTGCACGTCCTTGCCAATACTTGTTATTTCTTGTCTTTTTGATACTAGACATTCTGACAGGTGTGAAATGATATCTCATTGTGGTTTTGATTTGCATTTCCCCAATGATGAGTGATGTTGAGCACTTTTTCATATGAGTGTTGGCCATTTGCATGTCTTCTTTGGAAAAACATCATCTATTCAGATCCTCTGCCCTTTTTTTAATTGAACTGGTTTTTGCTCTTGAGTTGTATGAGTTCTTTGTATATTTTGAATATTAGTACCTTATTGGATGTATGATTTACAAATATTTTCTCCCATTCTGTAGGTTGCCTTTGTGTTTTGTCAATGGTTTCCTTCACTGTGCAGAAGCTTTTTAGTTCCATGTAGTCTCACTTGTTTATTTTCGCCTGGGTTGCCCTTGCAGTTGGGAGTGAGATCCAAAAAATATCTCTGAGACTAATGTCAAGGAGCTTACTGCATATGTTTTCTTTTAGGGATTTTATGGTTTCCGGTCTTATATTCAGTTTCCTAGTCCATTTTTTTTAGTTGATTTTTGTGTATGGTGTCATATAGTGGTCCGGTGTCATATAGTGGTCCGGTGTCATATAGTGGTCCAGTCTCATTCTTTTGTATGTGGCTGTCTAGTTTTCCCAACACTATTTGTTGAAGACAGAGTCCTTTCCCCATTGCATATTCTTGCTTCCCTTGTTGTAAATTAATTAACCATGTGTATGTGGGTTTATTTCTGGGCTCTCCATTCTGTTCCATTGATCTAAGTGTCTGTTTTTATGACAGTATCCTACTGTTTTGATTACTATGGCTTTGTAGTGTAGTTTGAAATCAGGACATATCATGCCTCCAGCTTTGTTCTTCTTTCTAAAAATCCTTTGGCTATTCAGAGTTTTTTGTTGTTCCATACAAATTTTAAGATGGATTGTTCTATTTCTGTAAAAAAAAATGCCACTAGAATTTTGATAGGGATCACATTGCATCTATAGATTGCTTTGGGTACAGACCTGATGTTTTCCAAAATGCAGTGAAACATAGTTGGGAGTAAATTAAAGTTTCTCTTTGAAGTCAAAGAAGAAAAATTGGAAGAAGAGTAAGCATTTATTTGTGAACTACAATTTATGCAGGAAGTTGTGTTTCATTACCTTTCACCCTAATCAGTATATTATACTTTGTTTTGAAATCACAAGTAATTTACAGAGAACCAAAGCATCCTTAATTATATCTGAAATCCCCTTTCGAGGCCTTCTCCAGCCCTGACTGCTAAAGGAAAGGAACAGGCCACATACGACTTCATTCATAGAACTAAGAAAAGGAGTTAAAAACCAAATGTCCAGGGCACCTGGCTAGCTCAGTCAGTAGAGTATGTCACTCCTGATCTCAGGGCTGTGAGTTCAAGCCCCACACTGGGCATGGAGCTTGCTTAAAAAACAAAAACAAAAACAAATGTCCATCATTACAGCAGTACTACTTACCTACCATAGAGTTTCTAGAAAGACAGTATTCAGGGCACTGCACTGCAGAGAGAAATACAAAGGCTCTGATGTCAATAGAAATTTGTCAAGAAAGTGCTCAGCCAACAGGCGGTGGGCAGGACGACCGTTCCTGGTGGCCATTTCTGTCTATAACAGACCAGAGCAGGTCTACATCAGTAGCCCGTGTGAACTTCCACTGCCTTCCCTACCCATCCAAACCTGAAATGCAACACATAAACAGGTTGATAATTCTTCTGTATGTCCAAGTGTCCAGCTCTCACTATATTGAGCTCACTGCACCCGTAGCAAGGGGCATTAACTAACATTATTTTGTAGGCATTTGGGGCTCCTGACCTCAGGGTGCAAAAGTGTGGGAAGGAGAGGCAAATTAGCACCTCTAGCTGGTGGTCGTGATACTCAGTTTTGAGTGGGACCTTCCCACGGTTCCTAGCTCCCAGGTGACTGCGTTTCTCAGCTTCACATCGCACCACAGCTCCCTCTCTCATTTATCATTCTTTCACTCTCATGCCAGCTTCTGATGAGAAGGTAGAAAACAGGCCCTGGGAGGGAGCTCATTACTTAAGTGGGGGACAGAGAGGACACAGGATGGCTTGGTAACGGTCTCTGCATTGTGAGTGTTATTACTGTGGGCCATGGTGACCAGCAGCGTCTCAGGTCAGGCTCCCTGGAAGCAGAGCCCCACATAGACACAGATTCCTGTGCAAGTGAATTATTGAGGGAAGGCTCTTGGAAGAAAAAGGGAGAGACAGGAGGGAAGCAGTGTAGGGCAGGGGAAGAAGCAAAATGAAGATGGAGATTTAGCCTCAGCCTGACTCCCTGGCAGAAGGGGCTGGGGATCATGGAGTCATTCAACACCATACATGACACAGGGAGCCAGGCCTTTCTTTATATCCCCTGTGTCAGTTAGTCACTGGCTACAAGTCATCCCATTGGGGGAAGAGGGGTGCATAAGCCTCGAGTCATCAGCTCTGGGCAAGGCTGTCCTGTAGGCCAAGGCCAGTTCTAGAGAGAGCACTGAAACAGTGAGCCTTTCAACTGGGGATGAGCCCCGTGGTCAGCGCAGGGCTGACCTGGCTGGACACCACAGCATCCACAAACAATGGCTGCTAATACCACAACGAAAGAGTAGGATAGACACCACGAAAAGTCTCTTGGGGAAACTGGATGCTCTGGAGCTCCTTGTAGCCGCTAATCACTAGAGCCAATGGACAGAGAATGGCCTTAACCCAACTGGATCTTTATTTATTTATTTGATGATAAAGCGAGAATGAGAGAACATGAGCAAGGAAGGAAGGGGCAGAGGGAAAGGGAGAAGCAGCCCCCCTCCCCCCCGTGTGGGGAGTTCAATGCAGGGCTCGATCCCAGGACCCCAGGATCTGACAGGATCCGAAGGCAGACGCTTAACTGCCTGAGCCACCCAGATGCCCCTGCCAGGTGCTGTTGCAAGCACTTTATGTCTGTTAACCTAATTTAAACCTCAACACAACCCTGTGAATAAGACATTATTATTTAGCA